GGCGCAACAGTCAGTGTCAAATGGGTCGGCCTCTTCACCATCGCCTGGGTTGGTAGCTTGACACTGGTACAACTCTGGGTTCTTCTCGGAGATACCAAGAACGTCACGCCACGCCTGTGGTTCAAGCACTTCTTCGCACGCATGTTTTGCCTGATCGTCATTCCCGTCTCGTTCTACATGGCCATGTTCGGAATCCACTTCATCTGCCTGGTCAACCCTGGTGAGGGTGACGGCTTCATGTCTTCCGAGTTCCAGGCGACACTGAACTCTAAGGGCATGCAAGCTGTTCCCGCCGACGTCGCGTATGGAAGCCGTGTCTCCCTACGCCACTGGAACACTCAAGGCGGATATCTCCATTCCCACAGCCACATGTACCCCACCGGTAGCAAGCAGCAACAGATTACCCTCTACCCCCACAAGGACGAAAACAACATCTGGATCATGGAAAACCAAACTCTGCCAATCATGCCGGAAGACTACGCTGGCCCAAACCTCACAAGCCCTAAAGCTTGGGACAACGTTGGCCCTACTTACATTGAAGATGGCGGTGTCATTCGCCTCTACCATATCACCACTGACAGACGCCTCCACTCGCACGATGTTCGTGCTCCTGTTACCGAGGCCGACTGGCAAAACGAGGTTTCTGCCTACGGTTACGAAGGCTTTGAGGGTGATGCGAACGATCTGTTCCGCATTGAGATTGTCAAGAGCAAGTCTGATGGAGCCGTGGCAAAGAAGCGCGTTCGAACTATCCAGACCAAGTTCAGGCTTGTTCATGTCATGACTGGTTGTGCGCTATTCTCACACAAGGTGAAGCTCCCTGACTGGGGTTTCGAGCAACAAGAGGTCACTTGCGCTCGGCAAGGCACATTGCCCAACAGCATCTGGTACATCGAGGGCAATGTTCACCCCTTGATGGTAGACGGAGAGGTCGAAAAGGTCAACTACCGCAACCCCGGATTCTTCGGCAAGTTTTGGGAGTTGCAGAAGGTCATGTGGAAGACCAACGCTGGCCTTACTGAATCGCACGCCTGGGATTCGCGCCCTCCATCGTGGCCCATTCTACGCCGCGGTATCAACTTCTGGGGCAAGCATAATCGTCAGATCTATCTCCTGGGTAACCCGGTGATCTGGTGGAGCTCGAGCGCGCTCATCGCTCTCTACATCGCTATCAAAGGCTTCGCCATTCTCCGTTGGCAGCGCGGCTACCGTGATTACAATAACGTCACCTTCAAACGTTTCGACTACGAAGTTGGTATGAGCATTCTGGGTTGGGCTTTCCACTACTTCCCATTCTACCTGATGGCGCGCCAGCTGTTCTTGCACCACTACCTGCCCGCTCTGTACTTTGCCATCCTTGCACTTTGCCAGATTTTTGACTTCGTGAGCTACCGCTTCAGTGTCTTTGGTTTGAGGCAATACCCCGCGATCGGCCAAGCAGCGGCTGTCGGTTTTCTCGCTGTCGCTATCACAGTCTTCACTGTATACTCTCCCCTAGCATACGGCAACGCATGGACCAAGGATGCTTGCAAGAGCGTTAAGCTGTTCGACACTTGGGACTGGGATTGCAACAACTTCCTAAACTCTGTAAGTTCTCTTCGCATCACGACTGGCCAATTTCAGCTGACAAGTTGTAGTACGAAGCATACAACGTCATGCACTCTGAGCCTGTAGCATCCATCGCCGTGCCTTCATCAGCAGCACCTGCTCCTCCAGCTCCAGTCGCACCAGAAGTCGTCCCTGAAGTCAAGCAAGAACAGCCCAAGGAACAGCCAGAGCAACCAAAAGAAGCGAAGGAAGAGAACGTGATGTCTGAGCAAGCGGTAGTTTCCCCGCCACCTCAGGAGGCCCCCAAGGATCTACCTGTTGTTTCCAAGGAAGAGCGTATCGAGTACCGCGACGAGAACGGCCGCATTCTCAATGACGATGAGGTATCAGCACTTGCTGGAAAGGTCAGCTTTAAGACGCGTTACGAGACCCGAACCCGTATCGTCGATGGCGAAGGCCACGAGATCTACGAGGGCCTTGTAGACTCGCATGGTGACGCTGAAGAAAACGGTGTCGCACCTCCCCACCCAGACGCCGAAGGCCGTAACCCTGAGACACAAGAGCAGGCCAATGCTCCCGAAGCCAGCGAGGCACCACCTACTGTCGAGGTCGTGGAAGATCAGCAGAAGGAGAAGAGCATTGAGCAGCATCAGGACGATGCTCAGCCAGCAAGTGAGGCTCAATCTGCAACGCAAAAGGATGAGTAAATCCTTTTTCCTTCTTCCCATGGTATTTTCATGGTCTCATTTCTCTCTTTTGTACCATAGGGACGGATACATTTAGCAGCGTACGGAGCTGGTGGCGCTCGGTCTTACACGACAAACACACGTAACGGCAGATGGAAAGTGGATTGCATTTGCCTTGGATCTTGTATGATTACATATAATGTGTTTTGCGAAAATCTGACATCTCACGTCGTATTTGTCTCCGGAACTGAGTTGTGCTATATGCATAAAGGCAATCATGACCACTGCGTATAAGTGTGGAAGACAGGAGAACGTTGGCAAGCACGAGAAAAAGTGCGAGGCACTAGACCTCCACAGGTCCTTGTCAGTTTGCAGTAACTCTTGCGGCTCGGCAACGACACGATAAGCTAGTGACAATGAGTTGCAGACTAAGCCTTGTCGTCCCGGGCTCGAGGACCCTCAGCCTCAGGCTAATTCATCTCATCCGATCTACCGGATGAACCGCTAGACAGCTCTCCCGCGATCGGATGGCGCGGTGCAAGATGCAGGGAGCGGGTATCCTTGAGCAACTTCACAAACTAGCATCTGATCCCGGAATATGCTCCATCGCACTAGGATTATGTCCAAGACTTGTGATTCGTCATCGGAACCTTTTGCCGCAGTCTTAAGTCCAGGGACCACAGGGGACCACAGTGGGCTGGAATACGTTAGCAGCAAGGGTCAAACTGGGGACGCTCTAGATCTAACGTGTGGCCGATCGCTTCTAGGTATTACTTGCACATGCCAGGAGCTTCTTCTTTTTTTCGGGCCTCGCAATGTTAGGAAACCCCACTCCTTGCACCCGGCGGCGAAGTCGGGCATGTGTCACGCAGCAGCTCGGGCAAAGTTACTACAAGTCATGTAATCTGTCCATGATCTCCGCCTGACCACCAGAACCAACACCCTATTTGACACAGATCAACGACATTTTGACTACTAATTCGCCGACAGATCACCTTTGGAGAAAAAAAGGAATTTTCTGGAACATGACTTTTGGGCATGAAGTGCTGTGGCTAGGGTTCGGCAGTAATACGCGTAAGACCCCCAAGTTCTTCCCTGCTTGCCTTGGTGGCAAACCAGAGGAAGTGTCGCGAGCTTCATGTCGCTCTTTGTGGGAATGTTCGCCACTTGCGTTGAGCTAAAAAAGAAGCCTTCCTCCTCGCCGTACTGGCCTCCGCGGAGCGAGACACTCACACACAAACGACATACCAGTGAGGGTTATAAATTAACAATGCGGTCTAGCCGCGCATCGCGTTTTTCCAGATACCCCTCTCACTTGCGCCAGATTCCCATGTTCACGACATCGTGAAACCCTCTTTTCCATCCCTCGACTTTGGTGTCTGCGTTTCTTTCTGGGGAGAGACTGTTCGTCTCCTCCTCTGGTTTTTGTTTTCTTTTCGCGGCTTGAATTTCACTCCCTTGTCTTTTAATTGTACTGCGATCATTGTTGCGCCGCGTTCCTATTCTGCTACCAGGCGTCTTGTCGTCTGCAATGGCGCCTGACTCGCACAGCGCCCACATGGCCGATGGCAACCACATGTGTGCCAACTGCGCGCGCAGCAAAGATGGACCTACACCCACTCAACGGTCGTACGACAACGATAACAACAACAACGTTCACGACGGCGATTCCTACATCCAGCAAAGCATCGAACAACCCAACCCACCCATGGCCAACATGGTCAATTCCTCCCACTCCGGTCCCTACAGAATCTACATCGTGACCGATACCTGCTACCCCACGGCCGATAGCTTCCAGAACAACGTCGGTACCACGCACATCACATCTGTGCACTCCACGAAAGCGGCAGCCAACAGCCGAGCCAAGAAGATCATCTACGAGAACGACGGCGAGTGTACAGTCGATCTTGACAAGATCATCGAGGAGGTGAAGAAAGGATTATACATTGGGATAGGAGTTGGTGGCAAGGACGAAAAGAGTGGCAGCTGCTTTGCGCGAAAGTGTGAGGTGGAAGGCAAGATTGTGGACGAAGACAGCGATAGCGAGGAAACAAGCGGCGAAAGTGGCGAAAGCGATCTTGTGGATGGCATGGGGGAGGCAGACGGCGATGTGGACATGGGCTGATGAGGAGAATACAACGACACAAACAGCGAACTCAGGAAGCCGCGGCAAACATGGGTAGCGGTTAGGATCTGCTGTCGACACATACGGAGGCGTGGAATTAGAGTCAAGAACGGCTCAGGAAGCTAAGGAAATACAATACCGCCGGGGTACTACAACGACCGTAACAGGCGTTCGAGGTATGGATATTCAAGACCATCGTAGGACGCGGGTCGAGAACTCCCTTGGGTTCCGGTTTGGAAAAACGGAAACGGACGAAAGAGCAGCCCCCAATCTCTGGACAGACACCTCCGGCACATCGAACTATCTATCTTGCGCGCTCGTGGTGAAACACGGCGTTTGCATATCGCATAGACACATTGGCAGTACACAAAACAAACGAACTGTATATCACTTCGTAGGAGGGGAGGTTGATCCGGCACCTGGTTGGCTGGACGAGCATGCAGACAATTAATGTATTGTAGTCTCCACTATCAATCGCAATTGGCAAGAATGGCTTCAATTCGTACCCCCCGAGTATCGCGAATGTAGGTGCTTACTTGACCAGGTCGAAGGATCCGCAAGCTTCTGATGCTTGCGCTACGACCGACTGGCTCAGAGCCTGGGACAGCTCTCAGTGGTTGTGTTTGTCTTCGAGGCGACGGTTACGAGAAGTTCTTTTTCAAGTAATAGATCCAAGACTCGTCGAATGCGTCTATGTCTAGCAAAGGCTTTTGTGAGTCTGATACGGACTCGATTATGTCTGGCGGAGTTACGGGTGTGTCCGTCGGCGATTCTTCCGTATCTAGCAGGTCCTGCTGTTCATCTGGCGGAGCGACTTGTGTCTTGGATGAGGCTCCTCGGGCTTCTGGCAATGTCTTTTGTGTCCTTCGTGTCTTTTGTGTTTTTTGTGCCTCTTTGGGTACTTTTGGCGGGGCCGGACCTTGAGAATCTGAATTCAGAGCAGCTCCGTTGTCGCCAACAGACGTGTTCGTATGTTGAGTGTCTTGAATGACTGGTTGCGTTATGGCATTTGCGGGCGGCCAAGGGCCAAACCCCTTGAATATGACTTTTTGGAAATCCCGGCTGTCGTAATAATACTCCATGTCCAGCGTTCCTCGGAGGTTCATCAGGACGATGGACACTTCTTCCCCGAAGCTTGCTGAGAATACCCTCCGCTTTCCTCCTAGGTCTACTATCTCCTGTGGGTGATCTCCTTCTTCCATCTCTTCTACCTGCTCGTAGTCATCTTTCGATACCGTAAATTGCCGTGGTGGCTGGTCCGGCATGTGATGCGTGCAGATGAGCTTGCCTTCCAACTTGTATAACCAGAATCGAACCCCCGGATACGCTACAGTCTCGCGCATGTTGGTCGTAGGCCTAGAAAGGGTTGATAACCGCTATTTTGCGAGCGAAGGGTATTGATAAAGGTCGGGTTGTTAATGTTGATCGTGTTAGCAGCAGGAAGTGCAGAAGTTGCGAAACCAGGTAGGATGAATACGGAAAGATATGATGCTCATGTCATAGGGAAGCGGCTCATGAGTATATGGCGGCCTTCACGAAGGACGTGAGTAAGGGTAAGCTAGTCTTTTGTAGAGAAAGTGCACCTCGATCAATCCTTTCAGGCAAGTGACATCGTGAGTATTGGTAGCCAGGGTTTTTCTTGCTCGGCTCGGAGTGCAGAAGGTAGACAGTGCTACCCTCTGGGATCTCTCCTTATCTGGACGAAGAGTCGCATCAAGCACTCTTCGGATGATACTATGTCAGCTCGGCCATGGGACGTGTGGTGGCCGCGACCTGGCGCACATCAACGGGGTCGATCAACGACCGTTTCGATCTTCCAATTCCAAGGCTTGAGCATCTCGTCAGATCTTTGGTAGCGTATCTCGAAGTTAGTAGCTAATGCGCGATGGATGAACCATGTTTGTGAATGCTGAGTATGGCTGATCGGTCGGAGGCTGGTCGTTGCCAAGAAACGGTGCATCCCCACGCGCGCGCCCGCACGTCATCGAGCGCTTGGAGCAAGAACAGTAACACTACACCACATATGCGTTCCGCCCTCCACGATGCCGTACACAATATCTACATCTTTGCGATATGTCTGCCGGATACTTTCCAAAACGGGAGAAGGTCGGTCTTGAGTACCTTTTCAAAGGCCTAGTTACTGCCTGTCACATCCTCGACCACAATGGTAAGTTCTGGGGTCCGGAGTGCACGTGAAACACACACTGACTTCGCGCTTCCATCGCTTTAGGCATCTTCGATGCTTATGGCCATATCTCTGTCCGGTCGCCCGACAATCCCGCGACGTTCTGGATGCCTTGCAATATGCCGCCAGCGCTGGTCAGCTCGCAGGACGATCTGGTCGAATACAACGTCGATGGCGCCGAAGCGGTCGAGAAGGACGCGAAGCCTGGTTATCTAGAGCGACACATCCACAGCGAGATATACAAGAGGTTTCCGGCCATCAACAGTGTGGTGCATAGCCATGCTCGCGATGTTCTGCCGTACTGCGTTAGCGGTGTGCCTTTAAAGAACACAATACACATGGCTGGCTTCTTGGGTATGTATCCTAGGTCATCATGTCTAGCTTGTTGCTAATAATGTCACTGCAGGTACCAATGTGCCAGTCTGGGATGCCTCGAGCAGCTACCCCTCCGGTTCGAAACACGACCTGCTCGTTCGCGACAGCACGCTCGGCGCCTCTCTTGCAGCTGCGTTCAAACCAGCCACTTCGACCGGCTTCATCTACTCCAAAGTACGCTCCGCTCTACCCTCGCAGCTCGGTGGTTCATCTGCAGAGCCAAAGATGGAACCCGATCACGCTGTCGTCCTGCTACAAGGCCATGGCTTCACAACCGTCGCACATGGCATCGAGAAAGCTGTCTACCAAGCAATATATACGAAAGAGGCAGCCAAGGCGCAAACTACCGCTATGACGGTTCTGAATGCGCACACGGGCTATGCACTCGAGGGCAAGATCGACGTTGAAGCCGGTGGCAAAATCAAGTCGGGACATGCGAAGGTTGAGGGCGGCAATCTAAAGTATCTGAGCGACAGGGAATGCCATGATGCCTGGGAGTCACTTTCAGGCACTTTGACCAGACCTTGGGCGCTCTGGTGCCGACAAGTGGAAGTTGACCCGTTGTATAGGAATGAGTGCTCAGGCGGCGATGATTGAGCGATGGTGGATCGACCGGTTCGTATGGCTGCTTTCGACAGACAGAATCGCAGTTAGTAATACTTCTTCCTTCTTTTCTGTTATTCCCGAGTGCCTCGTCTCCTGTGGGGGCTAGGCTCTCCGCAAACGTTATCCAGTAGAGTCTTAGCCCTTCCAATTTGCGGTCAATTTGCTGCGACACTCTCCTCTTATAACATTTCCGTCTTAATATGAAACCTCTTTTCCACGCTTCTAGCCGGTATTTCTGACGTTTCTTACAATGTAGCTAGCAGGGTACTTCTCGCAGCTGCGCCAAGTTGTTCCATAGTGCTTGTCTCACAGGCCAAGATCTTCCGCCACTAAAGGCGCATCTTACCCCGGACTCCCCCCTCACGGCACTTTTAGCTCTTAGATCAACACCACCGCACGACATTTTCGATCCGGATGAACGAACACTTTCATACCGAGGTACATGTACCTAAGCTCGAATACTATCTGTAATCAGCATTCCTCCCGCCCTCCCGACTTCGTAACTTAGTGAAGCAAGATGTCAGATGACTGTAAAGGTGGCTGCGCTTGGGTAACAGTCGTGGAAAGCATCTGGCTAGTGGATGTCCTGGGTGGAAATTGTTGATATTTCGGTGCATTTGGCGCCGAGAGTGTTCGCGCAATGTAGTAAGCTCCTGCTACTGGTATGGAAGAGAAGCCTATAGGTAAGGGATAGAGCCGCCGTTCAATATCGAAGCCGGACAAGTCACTTCAGATTCACCCCATCTATATTCTCGTCAGCTATGTTTCTTGACATGTTACTGAAGAGCGCATTGTTGGCTGCGGCCACATATTCTTCCTCGGTCCTGGCGGCATTCGGCGCTACTAAAAGCGGTGACAACATTGTTGTGGACGCTGGCTCGACGAACGCCCTTGTTTTTACCGTCAATGCGAAGAGCTGCGACGTTACATCGATCAAATATCGTGGAGAGGAGTTGCAGTCGTCGTCCAAGGGATCGCATATTTCTTCTGGACTGGGTAGTGCAACTGTCAAGTATGAGACGATAAGCAGTTCGTTGTATCCTCAATCCTTCGACGACAGAATCTAACGGAGTCCGACAGGCCAATATGTCAAGGTTACTTGCACGACTAGTACCTTGACGCATTACCTTGTTGCTAAGGCTGGCGAAGCGACGATTTATATGGCGACATACACCACCGCCGAGCCTAGCATTGGCGAACTGCGATTCATCGCGCGTCTCAAGAGTAGTGCTCTGCCACTTGAGTACCCATTCGGCGTGGTATCGACGACCGTTGGTTCGACGTCGACTGTTGAGGGGTCAGACGTCTTCGTGGTCGCTGGTCAGACGAGGAGTAAATTCTACTCAAGTGAGCGCTTCATCGACGACACTACGGTGGGTACCATAGTCAGCATGCTTCATTGAGCTTTTACTGACACAACTCAGCACTGCGTCTACCGAGACGGTGCCGACGCAGTCCACGCCTGCTTCCTTATGAACTCATATTCTTATGAAGGCTCCTCTGGTGGCCCCTTCCACCGCGATATCAACACTAATAACGGAGGAGAATACACGTCATTGACCTTCTACATGAACAGTGGCCATGTTCAAACAGAGCAGTTCCGCCAGGGTCTGCACGGCCCCTACGCTCTAGCGTTCAGTCGCTCTGGTGTACCAGAAGGTGGCTCCAATATGGATACAACGTTCTTCAAGGACCTTGGTATAACGGGCTATGTGGCGCCATCCGCCAGGGGAACAGTCACCGGCACGGCGACAGGCGTAGGCTCCAGTTTCCAACGGGTATTGCATTGGTACAACGATGCAGCCCAGTACTGGGCGTACGCCGATAGTAGTGGCAAGTTCACTTCGCCAGCAATGAAGCCTGGAAACTACGCGCAGGTCTTATATCAAGGCGAATTCAAGGTCAAGGCAGCTAGCGTCACAGTCTCAGCTGGAAAAGCAACTACCGCCAACATTGCCGCCGACACCGAAACCAAGACCTCCATTTGGCGCATTGGCGAGTGGGATGGTCAGCCAAAGGGCTTCCGAAACGCAGACAAGCAACTGCGCATGCACCCCACAGACTCGCGCATGGCATCCTGGGGGCCCTTGACGTATACAGTTGGTTCCAGCACTCTTGACAGTGTTCCCATGGCCATAGTCAAGGACACCAATCCCCTTACGATCAAGTTCTCGAGCACCTCGACTGCAGCAGCGACCCTTCGCATCGGTACTACGCTCTCTTTCGCCGGCTGCCGTCCCTCGGTGACAGTCAACAGCTTTAATGCTGCCGTCCCTGCGGCACCAACGAAGATCGATTCGCGTGGCTTGACTCGCGGCGCCTACCGAGGGTTTGGTGAAGTCTACAATTATGCCATTCCAGCTGGCACGTTGGTCAGCGGGAGCAATACCATCAAGATCAACTGTGCGAGTGGGAGTTCGGGAGAAGGGTTCCTGGCCCCAAACGTGATTTTGGATGCGATAGAATTATTCAAGTAGGCTCTCGGGCACAACGGCCTGATTCGGTCATAGTGCCATGGTCTATGGATAGTTGTGTGGATGACGTGTCGTCGTAACATTGTAAGATTGGTCTTCTTACACATTCTTGCTTGCACCACTTCTTTTCTTTATCATCGCGTGTTACCGATAAATGCATTCAAGATCAAAATTACTGTGCCTCGGTTTCCTTTAGGCCGAGATACTTTTCGTAGGAATCGAACGAAACTCCTTATTAATCATCCGAGAAGGCTTGTGGGGCAATGCCTGGGAAGGTCATTTTTATAATCCTTCGCATCAACAAAACATCATTGAAAGCGACTCGCCATGCTAGGTTCCGACGCGATGGACGCAGTATTCACCGTATCATTGCACGAGCAAGGATGGGGCTGTCGGCTCCACCGAGAGCTGTGCAGCTTGTAGTCGTATGTCCTTTCCGCGTACACGGTCGAAGTATCTTCTTCTGGCAATTCAAAGTCTTGATAGGGCAGGTATCCGTTAGTCAATTCCCACGAGTCAGTCACCGGATCAACGCAGCACGCAGTGTTGACAAAGCTTTGAGGGCGCTGGACCCACCACGAAGGCCCTCGCTGGGGTGGAGTCGATGTGGGAACGTCTATATTCG